TTTTGTGGAATGAGATCCAGGTCTGTGTGGGTGCTTTGCTTTCCTTGCTGCCTGTGGTTTGAATTTTGAGCAGCACTTGCAGGATTTGCTGCATCTTTATGTGGGAAGAGAGCAGCACAGATAACGTTATGCATCTGTTTCACTTGTTAAAGCAGAAAACTAGAATTTCTAATTTTTATACATGTTTTTTTATGTTTGAATTTGCTCAACTTCTGCATCCTAGTCCCCAGAATATATGAGGCACAACATTTACAGGTGACCCCAATTCAAGAAGCATCTCTTGTGGAGACCTAATCTGATTTTACTCACCTAAAACTGGGAGGATTCAAAAAGAAATCCCATTATACTGAAGATATTTTCTATTTCAAAGCTTTCCATATGCAATAGTCCTTGACCAAACTCCTTTACCTTTGTACAGTTTAGTCTTGACCTAGAATAGTCTCAGTTACACCTAAGAGTTGGCATCTCTTTGCAAAATTGACCTCTTGTTTACAATTTTATACTAATCACCTTACTGACCTTTCAGTATTGAATTTATTTGCTGTTGCAGTGCCCTACTCTCTACTGTCTGAATATTAAATGTGTTTGTTTTCCCAGAGGGCTAGAGAACATTGGACAAAAGGGTTCAGCAGGAGAGAGTGAAATAAAAAGAGGTTGTGAGTCTTTAACCTTGAGCCTGAAATGAATGTGAACCAAACTCCAGATACTTGGCTTAGATGAAGCCAGGTAAACATTCGAGTATAAGCCCACACACTACCAACCAGAACACAGCTCTTGGTGCTTACCAGGCTTTGGAGATTTTGCCTAGATGGTTGTACTTAGGACTGACATTCTGAATATCACCTTTTTGTTCTGATGGGAAAAAAAAAATTGTAGTATCTAAAATTAAATTTCTTTTTTTTTGTTGTTGTTTTTGTTTTTTTCTTGCCTGATGCAGTATAATAAATCTGACTTCCAAGGTGGGATGAAGCTGAAGAGTTTTTTTCTGTTACAGCTCCAGAGAAGAAAGAAGTGGAAACTTATAGCAATGTCAAAAATGTCCTGAAGTGTTGTCCCCGCAGTCTTTTGTTAAAAGCAGTTCATTTTTTTCTGTTGTCTCCATTACTGTGAGAAAAGGGAGCTGTATCTCACTGTTTGTCTTCCCTTGGCATTGTCAGTCTCATAAAGAAACACCATTACATGAACTTACATAGTTCATACTAAACCAACACTTCCCAGGTTCTATCCATCATGGATGTCCCTGCTTTTCCATGCTTTTACAGCCATAACAACATCCCAAGTTCATCTGCTTGATTTTATCTTCAAAAAAAACCTGGCTGGGCTTGGTTTCAGCAGAGCCCCAGAATGTTTTTACACAGATATTACCTCAAACCTTGAATTTAAGCATGTATTAAAAGGATTTGTTGCTGTTGGGCCACGTAACTCTGGGTAAATAATCTTTTTAAATCTGGGAGTTGTACCAGCTATAATAGGTAGATTAAATATTGTAGTATTACAGTAGGGAAACAAAAATGCCACCTTTACATGCAACAAGCCTCTGCCTTTGTTTCCACTAAGTTTTGTCCCTGCAAGCAATAATTTGATCCATTGGGGGACAGGCCTTGAAGGAGATTTTGAATTTTATTGCAGTGCAGAAATTCTGTCACTGAATGATATGTGACATTAAAAAAATAAGTGTTTTCTTCTGGATGCCAATTTCAGTATGCAAAATTTTAAGTTGAGGAGGGAGTTTCTTCTAAAGTGAAAAATCAATGGAAAACTAATATACATCTCTGTAGAGAGATTTTAAGTGAAGTTATGGGTTCCTACAGCTCCCTTGTGAAGAAAACTCTTTAGAAATCTAATTTGATTTATTGTCAGCTTGAGGGACTTGCCCAGTTTGGCCCTTCCATTACCATTGCTTTCAGAGGGTGACCTACCTTAGGTGTCAGCAGAGCTGAAGCAGTTTTAAGCCAATATTTCCAGTACAAACCAGTGTGAACAAGGAGAAGCCATTCCAGAAACATCTCAATGTTCTTTCAAGACCCAAACAGTCCAGGCCAAAGATTTTGCCACACACCTTCACCCAAAGTGAGAGGCTGCAGTTCTACCTTCAGTCCATGCAGCTAAAAGTCATTATTGCTCTCCTGCAATGGCTCATTAATGAATTAATTCCAGAGCCACTGCAGAGCCCCAAATCCAGGTCATGGCAGGCACGTTTGAAGAGCTGCCTGTCAAACACAGCTGGAATTTGCATTTTTCCCTGTATTGACGAGGAGCTTGGAATGAAATCCAAATGAGATGCCAAATGCTGGTATTAAAGCAATACAGATTCTTTCCCTACTGTGGGATATGGAACTTACAAATTGACATCAGTTCCTCCCTTGCTAAATCATGGAGAGTTAAATACAGTTTGTGTGATGAAGAAAAGCTTTCCTTTCTTTGGATTCTGCTGGATCTGTTCAGGATAATATCAAACTCTTTTATTTAAGTAAAAATTTACCTTCACTATAAAAAATCCAGCTGGCAAATAGAACCTAAGTCTATGTCATAGAAATTGGCTATGTTTCCAAGAAAATAGAATTATCTTGTTAATTGATAAGCTCCAGCATGCAGCTGCAGCTGAAGAGGTGACTGGTATTTGTGTTTAGAAAGCAGAAATAATGGGGAGGTTTGCAGAAATGTCACCTCATCAGCCCATACTATAAAGTACCCAAGGTACAAAAAGTTTCTTCATTTAAATAGGCCAATATGGGAATGTGGTTTTAAGGCTGTCTCAACAGTCATACAATTGTTTTCATCATTTAGACTAATTACTCTGCACTTGAAAAGACAAGCTAGGAGGGCATAGATAGTGAAGGGATTTGCCACCTTTTCTGTTTTTAGCAATGCAGATGAATTCCTTACCCCACTCTGCTGACTCTACAGAGCCCCCACAGAGCTCAGATTCAGCTCTCACAAACCCCTGGTTTTTAATTCCAGGAGCTCTCTTAGGTACACTGTGTGATTGCAGTGGGTGAAACTGATTTAAAATTTATTTGTTGATATTTTTTCGTGCAAGACAATCTTCCCTCTTGCACGTCTGCCAACCTAAAACATTCTCACACCCCAAGGTCTGGCTGAGCCGTTCTGTGCCACTCCAATCCTCTTACCTGGAGCATAAACTGTCACATGAACTACTTTTTGTACTGTGCCCTGCTGTTACCAAATGTACCTGTGAAGGGAAGGGAGAGTATTTGGGCTGACCCAATGATCTGAACGTGGCAGGACTTCAGCTATTAAGATTTTTAAAAGACAATGAATATCCAAATTTAGAGATCATAAACAAGGACCAAGATCAAAGAGAAAAAAACCCAAACCAAGTCAGCCTCCTCCTCAAATGTGCTGAAATTCTGTACAGCTTGTACATGGGATCAGCTGGACCCCACAGCTGGAACCCCATGGCCCTGTGCCGTTACTGAAGTGCAGTCTGCCAAGGAAAAGAGGAATTAAAGCTTTCCAAAGCAGTGCTGTATCAGGCCAACCAACAATGTGCAGCATATTTACATGTAAAAAGATCCACATGCCAACCACCAAACCATTTCAAATGTGTGTGGAGAAGCTTTCACAGTACCTGCTTGCACCTTTTCTGCCTCTGCCTGTGTTTTATTCTCCCCCCTGAGAAATGCTCAAGGTTTGCTCATGGACTACATGGAAGTAGAGGGATAGAACTCATACTTAGTCATGAAACATTTGCCAACAGATCACGTTTTGCCATTCTGTTTTTTCCTCTCTGCCCCTCCACCCCCTTCCAAAAAGTTCTGTTTTTTTCAACAGTAACCCAGCACAACCCTTCACTTCTTTTGAGAACTGGTAGGTCCCTGGGACTAGAGAGCATCCCTCCCTTTGCCCACCCATAGAGGATGTAGTGTCCCCGCTCCTCAATCTGCTCCTCCCCTTTCCTACTGGGAAAATGGTGGGCACCATCCCTGAGAATCGCTGGGCTGAGTCTTAAGTTGATTTTCACCTCTCTTCTTACTGCCAGGTGGTTTCTGGCACTAGGTGGCCCCTGGCACAGGTCACTGACCTGCTTTAAAGACTGCATAAATGGCATAAATTGTGTGGCTTTCAGCATTTAACTGCACGACTGAGACACCAAATCCAAACAGCTCGCTGTTAACAATGGGACTCAATTCAACCCAACAACCAATCCATTATTTTACTTCATGTTCTTCTATTTATTAACAAGCTGAATGGCTAGAACAGTGGGTCTATACTCGAGTGTTTACCTCACATCTGCATGAAGGACAAATAAAAGTTGGTTCAACGATACTATGTTCACATTATCCAGGCTTCCAAGTGTAGTTGTTGTGTGCAAGTTATCTCTGTTCATGTGGTAACTGTGATTTTTATTTTTTTTTCCCCTGTGGTAGCATGATTGCGCTTAGTACTTTGTCTGCTTGGCTTTTTGTGCTCTTGGCTGCATCCATTTAGATTTTGCTTTAAAACATTGATATTCTAGTTTTCACACTTGGCTCCTGTGTGTGTCTCATACGTACCCATCCAACCGTGTCCGTGTTCCGTGCTTTTCTGTTTGTGAAGTGTGATATGTTATGTGTAATGGTTTTTTTAACAATAATATAAAAGAGACTTTTTAATTTAAAAAAGCCTTTCTACTTACTCACTGCAAAAATACCCCAAAAAACTATCAACATGCATGGTTTGACATTTGCATTACAATTAACATGGCTTGTCTTTTACTAGGGATGTACCACACGAGTGGACCTTGGCTTTCTTTAACCACTCCTCCCCATCAGTTCTTTGATGGCTTTAAACCTTGGTTTATTTTAATATTGCAGTTGGTACAGACATTCAAAATGCACATAACTGAGCCACTCGTTTATGCATATAACATCCAGAGACTTTGGACTCCAGCTGCCTGCACTGCCCTAACCATGTGCTACATTTTTCACCAAGTGTTCTCTGCCCCGCTGTGCCCCGGGGCGCTGCCCTCTGACAGCCCTTTCCTTTTCTCCCCCCAGATCCGCGTCGTGAAGGCATTCCGTAGCTCTCTCTATGAAGGTTTAGAAAAACCAGAATCTAGAACCTCTATTCACAACTTTATGACTCATCCTGAATTTAGGATAGAAGATTCCCAGCCCCACATCCCACTCATTGATGACACAGACCTAGAAGAAGACCCTGCTCTCAAGAAAAACTCGAGTCCACCGTCCTCGCTGAACAAGAACAACAGTGCTATCGACAGTGGAATCAATCTTACAACTGATACAAGTAAATCAGCTACCTCTTCTAGTCCAGGAAGCCCAATACATAGCCTGGAGACATCACTTTAGCTGAAAAGGTCACTGCAAAAAGAAAAAAAAAAGAAATATAAAAAGTTAAAGTAAAATAAAATAAGAAACCCCACAGCAACCGAGATATATAAATATATATATTAAAAACATTGCTGGCTGAAAAGCTGTTTGAACTCTTATTCACTCTGAGACAAGTGAATGAATTGTTGATCACAATGGTTTTGGGGAAAGAATGAATGGCTGATTTACATACCCCCCGTTCCCTTTCAGAAAAACAAAAACAAAAAAAAATCCTCCTGCATGAATGTACTGTACACTGCTGGCCCTTCTTTCTCTCTTTTTGTTTGTTTTTATTTCCTTTTTGGTTTTTTGTTTTTCTTTTTTTTGGTTTTTTTTTTCCTCCTTAAGCAGGAACTGCAGAGGACTTCTTTCTGAGGCTATTTATCCAATTCACTGGTCTGTGAGTTTTTGAAATGCTTGTGTGGCATGGACTCAATTGTATAGATTAATTTAAATAACTTTTTTGAAGTTGCAAAGCTTAACTTGCACAGTAGATTTGCACCAGTTGGACAGAGGAACTTAAACATTTATGAGACTATATATAGAGATATATACATATAAGTATATAGATAATTAATTATATATATGTATATATCTATCTATATATATATAGTTATATATATATAAAGTTTCTTTGTTGGCATGTTGCCTTGTTTCTGCTCAAATTGCTCTGACTATTTTAACTTATTTATGTCCTAAAAAAGAATGTAATTTGTTTACAAACCTGTAGATAATATCCTTAACTATTTGTAGGGTTAAGAAAGCACTTCCTGCCGAAGTAGTATAAAAATGGCTCAGCTCAGCTCATTGAAAATGTCTGTACTCTCGCACCCTGGATATTTTATTACAACCGTGCTCTGATTTCTGCCTGATTTCCTTTTTGGGTTTTTTTTTGTCTTTTTCTTTTTTTTTTTTGTTAATAATGTAGATACTGCTAGTAAATAACAAAAGAAGCCAAAATATAACACATTGGATGTAGCATTGTGATCCTATATACAGGGAGGTAAACCAGGCTTCCTTTGTTTCAAATAAAAATCAAAATGATCAGGTTCTCTCCTTTTTTTTCCTTCCTTCCCTCTGATGATCTGCTTGAACTCGTTTTGGTGCAACATACAATAATGGAGGCTATTTCATTCTTCAGACATACAGCAATGGCTTCAGAAACTATTTTTAGAGAGACATTAAATGAGTTTATAATTTAAAATAAGTTATATTTGGTTTGTCTATATGGAGATAAAAGAGATGTGAAAATCTTGTGATATACTGTGTTAATCCTTTTCAATTAGTACTTTAGGCATTTATTTCCTTATTATTTGCAAGGTATGGGCTGTTGGCATTTTGGATGAAATCACTGTAGGTTGTTGCTTTGATTTTTTTTTTTAAAGAAAAATATAATTTCTGCACTATTAGGACTGAACGAATCTTTATTAATTGTGTATTGAGATGTGATTTGTGTGGTTTTTTTTAAATCAAGCTTGCGTTCCTGCAGTAACACAGTAATACATTATTTTACCTTCAGCTTTCTCCCAAGAAAGCTGCTTTGAAAACCTGCAGTATGGAAGGCGAAAAACATTTTTCAAGATGGTAACAGCCCTAGAAACATAAAAATTATGAGCTTATACAATTGCTATGTCAACCACTTGAATGCTAAGCACTTTGTGGATCACAGATTTTTCATAAATAATTTTTGTATTTAATATAAAGTTTGCTTGGAGACTTTTCAGCATATGATTTTTTCCATAACTGTACAGTGCAAAAGACATTTGGAATCACACAATCGATAATGCCAGGCGTGTTGGAACAAAACACCCTCCAACCATCTCGATCCGTTGAGTTGTTAAGGTGTTTTTCTGGTTGTCCTAAAGTTGGCTCCATACAGTGGTGCATCTCTGCAGTCACAGCAGCTTAACCAAGCCAGAACTCTCCAAACCAAGCTTAGACTCATGGCCAAACTGCAGACTGACCCCGGTGTGTTCAGGGTGCATCAGGACTCTCAGCCAGGTAAAGCTCTGAGCAGCTCCCGGTGCCGGCTGCCGGACTCGGGGCTGGGAGCTCTGCTGGCTGTGGCTCATCCTCAGCCCCAGGGCCAGGCAGGGTGCCCGGGGCAGCTGCTCCAGCAGCCAGGGATGGGCGCCAGGCAGGAAGGTGCTCTGTGACTGGGGACTGCCCTGTTCACCACGGATTGGCTCCCTGGGCCTCTGGGCATCTCTGGCCAGAAGACAAAAGTGGTATCTCTTTACAGGGAAGCCTCTAGCTTTGGACTTGAACATCTACAGAAGCTATTAATACTGGAACAGTTTCTTTTCAGCATCTTAACACACTGACTGTTTGCCTTTTTGTTTTCCAACACTCTTCATGTTTTTTCTCGGTTCCATTTTTTTTTTTTAATTTTTGAATTTCTTCCTGTAGGAGTACCCCTCCCTAAGGTACCATTTGCAGACTTGAAAACTGTTAAGAAAACGAACACTGCATTCTGTGTATATATAGTAAAACATATATAAACTGAGATGCATAGAAAACTTGGGCTTTTGTGAGCAGAGACTGTGCTTTATGTATATGATAAATGATAGACTTTTTTTTTTTTTAAAGCAGAATAGCTATGACCTTTCAACTACAAGTCGTGCATCACAATTCCTTTCTTTTATTGCTTGACCTCTCTGTGATGGGAACAATGGATCAAAAACCAAAATGATCAGTTTGTTAAAATTCCCTGCAATATATAAATGCTCGCTCTCTACGTACTGTACTTAGCAGCATGAGATTTGTGGACAACAATACAGTGGTACATTGGCAATCCATCCCACTAGGGGTTATTAATATATGTTCATTCATCTGTTTTTATGAATTTTTTTATCTAGACAATAATTGTAAATAAAGAACTTACTCTGTCTGTTCATTTAATACTATGCAAAAGGTTATGCTTTCTATTGTTATTCTTATTCCTACAGTGTGATGCTGGAATGTTTGTGGTTTCAAAAAAAAAACAAACAAAAAAGACAAAAGTAAGTAAAATATGTGATGTAAATTATTTTATAGTTTGAAACAAAATGATAAAGATTTACTCTTGCTGCTTTCTGTCTAATAGATCTCTCTTGGCAGGAGCACAAGTGGAAAATTTAAAGAAATAAATTCACAAAGCAGCATGAACAATAATGGTCTGAATGTAACAGCTTTCTTTATTCTCACCTGAAATCCCGAGATGCAGCTCTGGATTCCCGCTGGGATGTTTGGATGTAAATCTGGACTGGCAGTGAGGACCCAGCTCCCCAGGCAGAGTTTGCTTCCCTTGCCCCTGGGGCTGAGCAGCCCCCAGGGCTCTCATTCCTGCCTGCCTGGCCGGGAAGGCTGGAGGTGGGAATGCTCCTGGGAGTGCTGCAGGGAAATGGCTGCAGGAGCGCTCAGGAAAGTCAAACCATGAAGTGAATTTGCTTAGGGAACAAGGAGCTTAATCTTGGCCCTAAGAACAACAGCTCTCTAAGGCTTTTCCTGTCATTGATGACAGCTCTGCACTTACACTGATTTTTTCAGCTCTTTCTCCCTTTGTCAGAGTGAGAAAAATTAACTTTGAATTTTTAGAACTGGGGAGTGCATCAGGATTGTCAGCCAGGAGAATGAGAATTGGGGAGTCCAGTCCAGGACTCTTCCTGCCACTGAAGACCTGGGGAAAAAGGAGGGAATTCTCACTCCAGTGCTCAGGCCCTGAGCCCAGATGTTCCTTCCCTTTTTGGGGAAAAAGGAGGGAATTCTCACTCCAGTGCTCAGGCCCTGAGCTCAGAAGTTTCTTCCCTTTTTTCCCAGCTTAGATTGATTCAGTTGTGCTTATACAATATTGTTGCTTTAGGAGTTAGCCAAGCAGGCCAGGTATGAGGTGAGTGGCTGTCAGATAATCTCATTTGTGAAGGTAAAATGCTTCTGATTACAGATTTTCCTGTCTTCTCACCTAATTTCAAACTTTAATTCACCAATTTTCTATCAGAAGTTATACTTGATAGAGGCCAAAATGAAATAGTGCTACACTGTGAGGAAAGTTACCAACAAATAAAACTGTACTCAGCACAGTGAATTCAACAAAACCCCTAGAGAAAACAATTATTTAAACAGCAGATTTCTTGGACTAATGCAGCTTTACAGCTACTTTGGAATGAAACTCTTTTCTGCTTTGATTTTGGGAGCTCAGGGTAGGTAATAATCAGAAAATATTTTTACTTGAATTCCCTGTCACTCATTTCCCCCCTCCTCACACACATGAGTTGATTTGCAGCGTTAGTCCCAGTGCTTTGGGCAGAGCTCTCCATCTCTGCAGAGAAGCACCTGTGAGGAGGTGTTGGTGAGAAACAGCTCTGCCTCGTTCAGTGTGATTTGGGCACTCTGGGAGTGCTGCAGCCCCGGGGATGGGCTTTAGCAGCTTCACCTTTGCAGGAGAGTTTGTGAAATATGGGATGGATGTGCACTGCAGGTGCAAATTGGGAAGGAAAGCAGGAATGAAATTCCCCACAATGCTGAATTCCTGCTCTGTGCAGCAAACTGAGGTTTCAGAAAGGCACATATTTGAGGCTATTCATCCCTGAGGGAGAACCAGGGCTGATGCTCTGATTCAAAATAGCAATGCTGGAAGTTTTTAGCTGTTTTATGTCAAAATCACGAGGGTAAACATTGTGAACTCTGTAAGAAAACCAGGTGGTGACTTGCTGAGGTGCTGTACTGATAAGGAAGAGGGAAATGGTGCATAAATAGCAGATAAAGAACAGGCCAAAAGGGGAAATGAGGGAGAAGGAGGAAGAAAATACAGGTGATAGTTTGCTATCTAATGAAATGAAATGGAGTCGTAATTGCTTGTTACTGGCTTGATCTGGCACTGAGCTCCAACCCAAAATATTCCCTGTCTGAAGCCCTTTCCAGTGAAGTCCATGAGGTTCCCAAAGCAGCTGGGAGTAAGTGCCCCTGAGTGTCTGCTGCTGTCCCATGTCCCCAGCAGGGCTGGAACCACTGGGGCAGCCAATGTGGGCACGGGGAGAGCACCAGGGCTCAACTCTTCCCACTTCCTCTTGGTATTCCAGCACTTTTAAAGTGACTTTTGAGGAACCACTAAAGGTAAGCACTGGATATTTGCCATTTGTGTTTGCATTCCTGCAGCTGTGTGAGACATTGGCAGAATGGAACAGTAATAATAATAATAGTAATAATATTGTATTCCTGGCTCAGATCTGGACAAGTGTCCATGTGTGCATCACCCTGGGCTATGAACTACAAATCCATATTTCTGATTTTATGAATCCATGTAGGGAATGCTTGGGTTTGATCACCAGCACACTGCTACAGGAGGTACTTGGAAAAACAGGGAAGTGTTTGATTCTGTTTTTCTTTTTACAAGCAGGTTTTAACAGGCACATTATGGTCTAACTAGATGGGAACTAAAGAGAAGTATGATCAAACAACTCATTTATTAAACAGGGCACACTGTTGAAAAACACAAACCCAAGGAAATATTTACAACAACATTTTCTCCCACGTGTTCAAACAAACTGATTTTCTGTCTATCTGGGAGCCCATGTTTCCCTGGTGATAAGTGAAGTGTTAAACTCCAAGTAAGGGAATGCGCTTCACTCCTTCCTCTGATGGATTTGGTTCATTTTCCAGCAAATTACAAAGCACCTGCCTCTACCCCTTGTGTGTGGGCATTTGAGAATCTCTGGGAGTTGCGCTGGTATAAAATCAGCACTGTTGGTGCACAGCAAACAGCTTTTACAAGATTATGAAAATCAGAAAAATGAGTTATGCTTCTTTGTTTGAGCTTTCTTGGAAAGTTTCACAGAGCATTTTGGCACGTGCTAAAGGTGGCCCTTTATCCCAGAATCCCAGAGCAGCCAAGATTGGAAGGGACCTCTGGAGATCACCCAGTCCAACCCCCAGCAAGGCAGGGTCACCTGGAGCAGGTGACACAGGAACACACCCAGGTGGGTCTGGAATGTCTCCAGAGAGGGTGACACATGGATTTATAAAGCTCCTAGTGCTTTCATCAGGGAGTTATTTAAAATTATTCCAGCTTCAAGTTTCAAAAGAGGCATTTAAAATAATTATCTAAAATTATTGAAGAAAATTTAATAAGAATGATGGGATGATGAGTCACAGGAATGAGTTACTAATACTTTCTCACCATCACACATCAAATGGGAAAGGTCTCTCATGCTTCTTTGCATATGGAGAGTTAATTACAGTTTTTAATTTGATACATGTTTGGAATTATTTTCTAGAAGACAAAGATTCCAGGAGTTCTAGGAGGTGTCACTGTGCACATAAATAGAGCTCTGTGGGAAGGAAGGGAAGCACACAGAAACCTTCCTGTCCCAGCTGGAGCTGCTGAATGGCCAGCCCTGCTGCAGGCCCTGGGACAGCCCTGCTGCTCCCCCAGAATCACTGCCTGGGAGGAGCATTGGGGTTCCTGGCCTGGGACAGACTGCTTTTCCACTTGTTTGTTTGTTTGGGATGTTTCTGGGGATTTCAGTGGCGTTCTCTCCAGTTCCAGGCCTGGTCTCACTGCATGGTTTGGTGGGCAGTGGTGCCTGCTCAAGGAATGAAGCCATAATTCATTCAGAATAAAATATCTGTTCTACCAAGCCTACCTACCAAAAAAAAAAGGGAATTAAAGAGCTCCCCAGCAGAGCATTCAGTGCTCTGGACTGTCAAAAAAAAAAAAAAAAAAAAAAAAAAAAAAAAAAAAAAAAAGGAATTAAAGAGCTCCCCAGCAAGCAGAGCATTCAGTGCTCTGGACTGTTTTTGTGTGCTGCCACCTATCACAGAGCACTTTGGCTTCAGAGGCAAAGCTGCAGTGTCACAAACATCTGCAGAGGAGGGATTCCTGCCAGGCAGGGGCTCCCCTGTGCCAAACCCATCACACTTCCTGGGAAGGGAGAAGGAGCTCTAAAAAAAAAAAAAAAAAAAAAAAAAAAAGGAATTAAAGAGCTCCCCAGCAAGCAGAGCATTCAGTGCTCTGGACTGTTTTTGTGTGCTGCCACCTATCACAGAGCACTTTGGCTTCAGAGGCAAAGCTGCAGTGTCACAAACATCTGCAGAGGAGGGATTCCTGACAGGAGAGGCTCCCCTGTACCAAACCCATCACACTTCCTGGGAAAGGAGAAGGAGCTCCGCCTGCTCCTTGGGAAGTGCTTCTGCTGCCATAGGGACCTTTTTGGAGGTTTGATTCTACTAGCAAGAAATAAAGTCCCTTCCAGCTGGTTTTATTATCCTGCTGTCTGTGTTGGAAGGGATTTGGACGGTTTCAGTACTTCTCTATTACATTTGCTGTGCTATTTTCTGAAAGCCTGAGGTGATAAAAGTGGATGTAGTGAAATATTCCTTCTGACTTCTTCCCTTGTATTAAACTCCACAGTCTCCTGTAGCCCACAACTCCTAGATATAAATTGTATTTTCACTGGATGAGAAAACCCACTTTGGCTGAGCACACTGCAGGGATGATTCAATTGCCTTTCTTTTCATTTTCATGTATCAGGACAGAAGCACTCCCCAATAATGCCAAAGCATTTTGTCTCCTCAGTGTTCCTGCCAGGACATTTTGTTCCTGAAAATTTGGAGGCTGATCTATGATCTGCCACTGGCAGAGCATCCTTATGCTAATGGTGAGCCTGGTGGAAATTTGCCATCCCTCCAAACAGCAGACATTGAAAATAATGGCTGGGACAGCCCTGAATCACCTCACACCAGAGGAAATTTTGCTACCTATACTTAAGAATTAATTGAATTTCTTTATCAATGCAGAACCTCTGCAATCTCACGACATTGAAGTGCTTGGTTGTATTATTGAATCTTGAAATGGGACAGAGCTGTGGTCACAATTTGAATTTGCTTTCTTCTGTAGTTCATGCACTTGTCACATGTTACAAAAAATGGATTTATTTAAAAAACAACCAACATTCTTTAGGTTTCCCAGCAATCTGAGATTTAGTAGGGAAAACAGGCAGGTACGTAAAAATCCTGAATGATCTCTCCTTGTAAATTAGTTCCACAAAATATCATTGCATAAATGCTGTCAAAGTAGAAAAAATATGGCTGGCTTTAAGAAAATAACTACTGGTCATTGAATTCTCCTGGTCTCAGAAAGTGCCTACTTTTGATGTCAAGACTTTACAGGTAATGTT